GGGACTCGATCCCAGGACCCTGGGATCATGACCTGAGCTGAAGGCAGACGCTCAACCATCTGAGCCACCCAGGCGCCCGGCTCATCTCCTCTTATTGGTGCATATTATCCCATGAGCTTCCTGCCCACCCAAACCCCCTTCTCTCCTTCCCCTACACCTGGCATGAAGCAACCCTGTGCTGTTCCTTTCTGCCACTGCCTTTGGGCGCCTACCCACACCCTTGATAGTTGGGGAGGGAGAGCATTTGGCTATTTTTTCTCCATTCTCACCAAAAGGATGTTGCTGAATGCAAAATGCTAAAGCCAGCCCTCTTTTACCTTCTGGTGCTGGCGGCTCTGAAGTCACTATATTTAACATCAAAGTGTAGACAGTAGCAAACAAGAAACCATGCCCCTGGATTGTGAGGCTCCTCCCAGCAGGACTGCCTGGGATTTCAGGCCGTAGGGGTAGGGGTGGGGGCACCGAGAAACAAGCCTGAGAGCGTGCTTCTTGCTGGCAAGGTCCAGGCAGGCTTCAGGGCACCCCCAGCCTCCACCAGGCGGGAGGCAGCCTTTTCTGAATGGGGAAAATGCCATGGCAACAGCATTAAGCTAGCATACTGTCTTGTACGGAAGGTTTAATGGGAGCTGTGTCTGCCCTGCTGATCCTAGTCCAGCCCAGTCGAGCCCAGCCCTGCCCAGTCTTGCCCCCCTGCCCTGCTCAGCCCAGTTCAGCCCTGCCCTGCCCAGTCCAACCCAGCCCTGTCCAGCTCTGCCCTGCCCTGCCCAGCTCTGCTCTGCCCAGTCCTGCCCTGCTCAGCCCAGTCCAGCCCAGTCCAGCCCAGCCCTGCCCTGCCCAGCCCTGCCCTGCCTTGCTCAGCCCAGTCCAGCCCAGCCCTGCCCAGTCCTTCTCTGCTCTGCTTAGCCCAGTCCTGCCCTGCCCAGCCCAGCCCAGCCCAACCCTGCCCTGCTCAGCCCAGTCCAGCCCAGCCCTGTCCAGTCCTGCCCTGCCCAGCCCTGCCCTGCTCATCCCAGTCCAGCTCTGTCCTGCCTTGCTCAGCCCTGCCCTGCCCAACCCTGTCCTGCTCAGCCCCTGGCCATTAGCATTTCACCAGAGAACTCCCGAAAGGTCAGCTTTTGCAGCCAGGGTCACTGGCGTTTTGATCTTTATCCGTCCCGAGGGCTGGCTGGTGGGAATGACTTGCCCCATTGCTCCCTGGAGCATTGTGTTTCTGCTGTTGCACCAGGATTTATCTTAGGTTTTGACGATTTACGTGACAAAAGAAATGAGATTGAATTTTGCTTCCTCTGGAGTGAGGGAGCCCGCATTGAGTGGCCACAGTTCCAGGGGCAATCAGATACAACTTTGTTCCCATTGCTGGGAATTCTTTTATGAGGAGAGAAAAATCAACTGATTTGAGCTCCTTTGTCAGCCTGACTTTCCTCATCTGTTTCAGCCGAGCCAAATACCCACTGTTGTATTTATGTGGCATTTCCAGCAAAATTAAAAGAAAGCAGCATTCTTTTTGGGTTGATTCTTTATAATCAAAACGAGTATATATCTTTTAGCTTGGAAACTCAGAATCCCAGTAATTGAATAGAATGCGCTACCCGGAGGATAAGTTATCATGTCTTTGAACCCCTTCCTGGTATTATTAGAGGAAGGGAGCGGGTGAATATAAGGTTAATGGATTCTGCTGCTAAACCGAACTTGGAAATGAGGTTTCATTGATTTAATATTTCCTCCATTAAGCCTCCCAAGACAGTGTCCCTATGGCCCTACCAAAGTGCAGTCACAGACTTTCTTCCTTGTGAGAGTCTGGGCCGCAGCAGGTGCTGTGACAGGGACAGATGACCAGCTCCGAAGGCTCTTGGGCCACTGGCCTCTCCCCGGGCTGGAGAGTGGAGGGGTGGAAAGCCCACCTCCCGCCGCCCGCAGGCCGAGTGGCTTTATCTTGAGGATGCACTCTGCGTTTGTGGCCACAGACACTCCCCTGCTGTGTGGGGCCTTTTGGGGAGTCACCTCTTCTGGGAGTGGACACCTTGAAGAGGAGACAGCTGAGTGTGTCAGGGAGCGTGGTGGGCTGGAGGCGCGAGCCGTTTCACCCACACGCTTACCCTCTCCACACCCTGGCTGAAGCCCGGTGCCAAGGGAGTACGCCACTGGGCCCGTTCCAGAGGCTTCCACCTGCCTGTCTCCTGAGCCTTCCTATGGCCTCTGCCCTTAGTCTTTGCTTCTCTGGGCGAAGCTGACTGGTGCTTGGAGCCATCCATCCTGGGGGCCTACCCCCGCCCTTCCCACCATGGCTCTTGTCCCCACCCCCGAAGTGGCTCTCCTGACGTGGCCCCTCTTTTCCACACGCATGCTGTGCATGGGGCAGGGCACAGTCTCCGACATGGGTTCTCATCCCTGCCTCTCCCTCTCCGCACACACCTCCCTCTTCTTTACAAGGCACTCACCAAACACTACCTCTGTCCCTGCCAGCCTGGCACCCTCGTGGACTTTGGTGATGGGCTCCTCCAATCTCCCAGTGCCCTGCCCAGTCTGCTGCGTGCCTGGCATTCGCCTGACGCAGGTCCTCCTCATTTGTGGGGGGGTTTGCTTGTTCCAGTGGGTCTAGGGTCTTTGGGTGCTATGGTTGAGGAACAAAGAGGGTGGAAAAGTTGGGGATATGCCTTTTTTTGGCAAAAAGTAAAGCAGCGAGGCTTTTAAATGCAGACCGAAGCTGTCGCACAAATGTTTTGAGCAACAGCTATATTTTTGGAGTGCGTTGTCACTGCTTGTAAGTACAGGCTTTGTTTGGATGTGTGAGTTCTGGGATGTTATGTAAAGAACAAGGACACTTCCAGCATGTACGGAGGTCATCTGTTTTATTATTTGAGCACTGGTGCAAGTCTGGGTTGTATGAACAAAATGGTGGTGATGTTCTCCCTCTCATGGAGTACACAGTTGGGATGGGGCAGGGTTAGAATTGGTCTGAGCTACAACCTCAGATCCGAGGTCCAGCTTGGTTAGCAGGTGGGCTGGTGCCATGCAATGTCTAGGCTTTAGAGATGGGCAGACCTGACATTGAGTGCATGTCAGCCCCAATCCCGTGATGAGATCCTGGCCAAGTACCCAACCTTTTCGAGCCTGTTTCCTTCCTTCTAAATATGGGAAGGAATAATACCTACCTTAAGGGGGGCTGTGGGTTTTTTAAATTTAATTTTTGAACATTGTAATTGTGTTACAACACATATCATGTAAAGATTGCCGTCTTAACCATGTTTTAAGTGTTAAGCACCTTCTCGCTGTCATGCAGCCAATCTCTAGAACTTTCCATCTTGCAAAACTCAGGCCCAGATCCCCCCCCCTGCCCCAGATGTTCCCTGGTGAAACAGTACCCCTAGAACTGCTCTGTTGGCTCAGCCCATCTGCTTGGGAGGAGAACGTGGTGGTTCTGGACCCTTCCTGTTTCCTGCCAGGGCCCCCTTATTCTGGGAGAAATGTAAATCCGTCTTCTCTCTGACTTTACAGAAAAGGCAACAGATGGCTCCCTCCAGAGCGAGGACTGGACGTTGAACATGGAGATCTGCGACATTATCAATGAGACAGAAGAAGGGTATGTGTGCCCCCCCCCCGCCACCCGCTATCTTCCATGAAGCTCGTCAGCTCCTGGGGGGTCACTCAGAGCCTGCCAGGGCTTAAGGGTGGGGTGTTTTACTTTGTGTTTTGTTTCCAGTCTGTTTGCTTTGGCATTTAATAAACAGATACACTTCATTATCTTTCCTCTTGCTGCCCGCCGCCCCCCAGCCCCACCATCAGTGATGCCCTCTTTTAATGACCTGCTTTGAATCACCGTGACAATGAAGTCTCCTGGTTACTTGGTCCCCCGTGGTCATCACCTCCTCCTGCCCTCCTCCCTGGCTGTATTCTCCTTCACCAACATGAGGCTGTCTCTGTCCTGCTTTGCTGGACTGGAGCCGCAAGAGGGAGAAGGGACCAGAGTGTCCATAGAGGGAGAGGTCCGCATGAGGCACAGAGCAGCGGGTGTATCTGGCAGGGCCTCCCCCCCCCCCCCATCCCTGCCCTGCCAGGTCGGTTCTTCTGGCTGTTCACTGTGTATCCTCTTCGGCATTCCAGCTACGTTCTGTTTACGCTTCTCCCAGATTGGTGTGTCTTCGGCCCTCTGTCCACACCACACAGAACGGTATTTACTGTAGCTACGCCCTCTCCAGCCATCCCTGAGGGGGACAGACCCAGGGGGACAGGTCGGACTCTGGCAGCCCTGGGCTTGCAGCTTGGCGCTGCTCCTGCTCTCAGTGAACAGATATTTACTGAGTGGCTACCTCATGCTGGGCCCTAGTGTGAGTGCCCAGGGCATGGCAGGGAGCAGGACAGACGACCTGGAAGCCATTACATGTTACGTTACATGGTCACATTACATGGTTAGCTGGTGACAAGTCTGGAGTGAAGTGAAGCGAGGGATGGGCGCCTGGGTGGCTCAG